AAAAAAATCTTACTGATAAAGCAATGTGCTAATACAAATTGAATGTATCAATGTAAAACTTACACAATATTATTTTTGCTCAGATTAACTATCATCCTGCATCAAGTCTTCAAGGGTTATCTTGTTTCTCTGCCTGCTGGAAGGATAAAGCCTACAGCTTTTAGTTCTAGTTCTCATTGCTCCGTGGATGCTGCCCTTGCGTCCTCCGGCTGTGAGAGCCACTCTGCGTGTGTGGTGCTGACTGTGCCCACCCTCGGTGGCAGCGCTGGATCCTGACAGGTCCCAGCCCGTCAGGATGACGCTGGCCTTTGCCATGACATTTGCTTCAGGGCTGCCATCAGAGTACTCAGGCTCTTTGCAACAGTTGTAGGGTGAGAGCATCTTGCTACCTGGATGTGAAACCGTGTAACCCTGGGAGCTGCCAGCAGCCGTCCTGGTTACCATCAGGGAAAAGCTGAGAAAAAATTGCAAAGAAAAAGAGCCAAAAGATGATACTGTGATCCTCTGAGTTAAACTGTGTGGTGTGCTTCTGAGCTTTTCTGGTTAGGTGAAGCAGTCCATTTTCTCCATTGGGTTTGAGTTGGTTTTTCTGTTCGTGCAAGTAAAACAATCTTAAGAAATACACCATGTAATCTTAAGCAAGTTTCCTTACCCGCTCTACTTTCACTTCCTGATCTATAATATAATGGGGACAGTACAACAGCTATCGTATAGAGAGAGGGTGCAGGGAGGCTCAACAGTGCATGGTGTTCAGCGCAGTACAAAGCAAGCACTTAATAAATAGTGGCGGCTCAGTGCCTGTAGCTCAAGCAGCTAAGGCGTCAGCCACATACACCAGAGCTGGTGGGTTCGAATCCAGCCCGGGTCCGCCAAACAACAATGATGGCCACAACCAAAAAATAGCTGGGCGTTGTGGCAGGTGCCTGTGGTCCCAGCTACTTGGGAGGCACAGGCAAGAGACTCGCTTGAGCCCAGGAGTTGGAGGTTGCTTTAAGCTGTGATGCCATGGCACTCTACCCAGGGCAACAGCTTGAGACTCTGTCTCAAAATAAATAAATAAATAAATAGCGGCTATTTTTACTATGTTTGGAGTTCTAGATTTTGTGTTAAATGTTAAATACATTTCACTTCGTCAGTCAGTGGCGTGACTTGTACAAGTGTTTACGTGACTTGCACAAGGTCCTACGACCAGCAAGAGGCAGAGATTTCACAAAGTGTGATTATTCCTCCTTTTTTTATCCTTTGAACCAGATGACTGATGTTGAGTGTCAATAAAATATTAATCGAATGCCTATAATGTGCCAAGAACTGTTAAGTTTTAAGCAGGAAGCAGTACAGAAAATATATATTCTTTCTTTTGAGTAGTGACTTTCAACTGGTGTGCAGTGAACATTTCTAAAGATCATTAATCGTTTTTGAAAGACGTTCAAAGCACAGTAAATATATTCTTTCTCTACTTTTTTTCAGGTAAACATAATTTAAGTGTGCGATGCAAGTTTTAATCATGGGTTCAAGGTGAGATTAAAGTTCGAAAACCACTGCTTTAGAAGGTACAATCTCATAACTATCTGAATTGTGAGCGATGAGACTGAGTCTGTGCCTTGAATTTACTGGCATCATGCTCTCAACAACTGAGCTAGCCAGCCAACATCTGAATCCCAAGGCACAGGGAAACACTGACGGTAACAGAAACACGTCTGCAGCTCAGTGCAGAACACACACATAAAACTTAAGGGACGTGTGTGCGTCTTCCATTTCAATTGCTGTTTAATTTCGCCTAAAACACTGAGCAGAAACGTAACATTTCTTTTAAATTTAATTCCATGCGTTTAAAACAAATCTCTGTTATATGCACCATAAAGATCTCATCTCCCTACGTCTCTGCCCTCCTTAACATGTCAACTTGTGTACACGTTCTAGGAAGCCTCAACAACACAATTAGACGTGACAAAGGGAAAGAAGAAAAAACAGAGTCTTGGCTGCACCGTTTTCTTAGAAAATCTGCAGGGAAATCTATTGCTGTTTTACTGTTTACTTCTATACGACGTTCTCCAAACGTCTGTCTATGGCATGAAGTGCCTCTTACAAAACTCCATCACCAGAGCGTGAGTGGCCCTGTGGAGAACCAGCAACGTGAGCCTCTTCCTCACTGGCTTTGTCTGATGTGCAGGTCGGGACATTTCTTACTAGTCATCTATAGTAAGCCCTGGAAAGCATAAACAGGCTCTGAATTTATCTTAACATCTAGGTAAATATTTCATCTAAGAAAACTGAATAGTGTCAGAATACATCACCGAAGAGATTACAGGGCTTTCACGGACAGCGAGGGGCGCCCCCCTTCCTACTCTGCTTTACCCCAGGCTTTTCCTGGAGCTGATGGCAGAGGGGTCTGAGAACCTGGAAAGTCATCCCGCAGACAGCCTAAGTGGTCCCTGATGAGATGTTTACCTGTATTGAAGCCAGACACGAGGAAGCCAACAAACCTCGGAGCCCGGGCTTGGTCCCTGGTCTTTCTGTAGCTTCATCTGAGGGACTTGAGAGCTGCGGGGAACAGACAGAGCTGCAGTCAGACATATCTAGCTTTGTTCTAAGTGAGAGACACTGGGTGTATCAGTTAGCCTAAGTGCTTCTCACTGTAAGATGAGAATTAAAAAGCCACTTCATAGGGCTTTGGAATAAATGAGACAAATACAGGGCCAAGCTCCTAGCAGCTAAACAATAAAAAATAGTCCCTTTCCCCTTTAATTCTTTAAGAAAGTATTTATTTAATATAATGTGTTTTGAAAAAAATGTTTCTCTTAGAAATGTAACATAACCATCAGTAGCTACCACTAGACGGTAATACATATACTATTAAGTAACAACTGCTCAGCATGTGTAAGATGCAGGAGTTTCTGGGCACCACGGGGGGTGTGTCCTAGGCAGCTGCTTCACCGTCTTCCTCCAGCCCCTCTGCTGACGCCTCCTGCTCAGGGAGATGAACATGGGGACAGCACCTTCCCTCTCTCTCTCCTGGTGGTTCCTTAAATGACAACAGAGGGGTTGTCTTCTCCGAGAGCACTGAAGATTCTTAAATTGTAATACCACGGCCAAATGACACGATTTTTTGTTAAGACGTGGGTGGCCCAGGACCCCGTGTCTAGCGGGTCCCCTGTCCCTGCATTTCGTCTCTCGCTTGTCACCTGGAACACTAACAGCACCTCCTATGCCTTCCTAGGAACCTCCTTGTTCGGCTTCTGCCTGTGGCCTTTTTCCTTGCCATCCACAGATGAAGACCAGGAAATTCCCTATCCCCGGGTATCCTTTCCCACATAACCTCACTCCAGTGCAAACAACTTTCAATGAACAGGTAGTCCAGGCTGTTCGTTCCCAGTTCATCAGAGCCCCCCAGACCGTGACGTCCAGTTCAGGCTCAGCTGGAACGCTCTCCAGTAACCATCACGCCATGTGACGATTCTCATCCACTAGGGGTCTGCTTTCAGAATCAAAACCGAGTACGAGACAGAGTAAAATGTATAATATAAATTTATTCCGTGATATTTTCCTCGTTGAAGACATTTTAAAATAGATTAAAATATAATCAATATTTCCTGAAAAATAAACACCTATAAGAATTCAGGTACCATCTATTAATGTACATGATTTGGCCATTTTTTTTCATTTTCAACATCTTTTAAAAGTAACATAAAAATGATAAGGATCGCTGTATTTTTCTGATATCCTTCATCTCATTCATTCTAACTCAACTGCCAGTTCTTTTCTCCACCATGCAGGTTAATGGAATTTGCTCCTGCTTTTGAAGAGGAAGAGTGTCCATTTTCGGTTTCTTAACAGTGGAACTCACGTCTTCTTTCTCTGATTCTTCAAGAAAATGCTTCATGCTGAGTTTGAATAGTAATCGAGGGTCTGGTCCAGAAAGTGGTGGGCAATTACATCTCTCTCTAACTTCAAGAGCCTATCAAGTATAAAATAAAATACATATATATAATATACATACACATACATAAATGCATTGAGATTATTTCAGTAATTCTTAATATGCTCTATGTAAAATAAAGATAAAAATATATTCTATATTTTTAGAAGAAAAGGTCTCCTGATTATAACATATAATAGAGAATTATAGATAAACTTATGGTAAGTAGTTACTTTCATGATTTGGTCAAATAATACTATTTTTAAAACAGCAGAATCTGCATCAGCTGCCCAAATGCTCTACGAAGGTAAATAAGCCACAGAGATGTCTCTATGGTTTCAGTTAAAACTGTAGACTCTGAGAACAACCATTCAGATTAAAAAAGACCTAAAGACTCCAGAAATTTTGAAAAACAGTAGAATACAGATGTCTGAACATACTAACAAAAGTTACATGTAACTGGCACTGTCTGGGATGGAATTGTTGCTAACATCTTGGAAAAGTAAACAAATCAAAATCATGACGATTTTCAATTCCAGGGAAAATAAAATGCTACAGGGGAAGAAAAGGTAATCACAGTACACTAGGTGGCTCAGCTGTGATGGTGTTTGCGGTTTAGAATACCAAATCTTGATCTGACCAAAATCACAGAGGAATCACATTGAGAAGAGGCGAACTGTACCCGTGTGTGCCGCACAGGGTGTGGCAGTGGCAGGAGGGCTCCGGCCTCGTCCTCTACAATGGAAAGTAAACTTTAGGAAGACCTAAAATTAAACTAAAGACACAGCAAACTAAGTTGGAAATACTAAGTTACTAAGTATGAAATCTCTGATCTCCTTAAGCATTAAGTTTGACGGTTGGTATCTCTGACATTTCACTTTTGACACTTTTTTTTTACTGTCAAGGTACATCCTTTATAATTCAATCAAGTTTCATTTAATTATTTTTGGTGTTCCTGTGACTGCCAGTGAGGTCTTGGTCATAAATTCTTTGCCTAGGCCACTACAGAGAAGAGGTTTTCCTACATTTTCTTCTAGACTTCTTAGGGTATCAGGCCTTACATTTAGGTTTTTTATGCAACTTACATTAATTTTGAGAGTGGTGAGAGATACAGATCCTGTTTCATTCTTCTGCAGTGTGGCTATCCAATTCTCCCAGCACCATTTATTGAATACCGTTTTTTCTTCTGTGTATTTTGGTATCTGCTTTGTCAAAGCTTGGTTGGCTGTACGTGGATGGTTTGATAACCGGCTTCTCTGTTCTGTTCCATCGGCCTTTGTCTCTTTGTGCCAATTCCATGCCCCTTGGTTACTAGAGCCATATAGTACAGTTGGAAGTCTGGTAATACAATACCTCCACATTGGTTCTTTTTGCTTAAGACTGCTTTGGCTAGTCAGGCTCTCATCTGGTTCCAAACAAAGCATATAATTATTTTTTCTAGGTCTGTGAAATACGATGCTGATAACTTGATGGGAATGGACTGACTCTGTAAATTGCTTTGGGTGGTATGGACGTTTTAACAATGTTATTCTACCAATCCCTGAGCGTGTCCCTATGTCTGTGTCATCTGCAGTTTCTGTCCTCATAGCTCTCTTCATAGGCATCATTCACCTCTTTGGATAAGTATGAGGTCTGACAATTAAGTTCACAAGCTCATCCTAGAAAAAGTGCTACATCCCTCCTTACCGATTATCCCTATGGCCATCTTCTAAGTACTCCCCTGGGAAAGCTGTGCAGTGCTGCCAGCACCTGGGCACCCTTCAAAGCAATTCTGGAACAGCTATCAGGGCTGTTGCGATAGGTGGTATTACCCTCGATGTCCTGAAAGTCCTCAAAATGTCTTACGTTCAAAATTTATTTTATCTTTGGCTAAAGAAAAAAGTTCAGGTGAGTAGGGAGAGTGTTCCAATGCAGTTATTTGTTTACTGGCTGAATACTCCTTCACAGAAAGTGCCCTGTGAGCTGCTGTACTGTCAGGATGCCAGAGCCATGAGCCGTTGGCGAAGATTTTCAGTTAAAATTTACCTGTTTCTCTACTGACGTTTACTTGGTCTGCTGTGCTTCTCACAGTCAGCTGATGATTTTGATGCACAGTTCAATGCATTTTTGCAACATTTCAGTCAGTTCTGCTCGTTACTGGCTGCCCTGACCTCTCTTCATCAGTGATGCTTTCTCTCCCCTCAGAAAAACATTGAATCCATTTGTACACAGCCATTTTCTTCACAGCACTATCCCCATAAACTTGGACTAACATATCCCTGATTTCACTTCCACTCCTGCCAAGTTTAACAAGAAATTTAATGTTTTGTCGTTGCTCTAATTCAAACTCTGATACATTTTCCTGACACACAAAAACACGCAACAATAATGAACATAACTCGTTAACACCATGAATGTCAACACAACACAGCTTTAAGGCACTGATATAGCAAGGTTATGAAACCTTACTGAGTTGTCTGTACAGTGCTGCCAATGTAAGCATGTGGTGGCAAGTCTGCAAACTTAATTATCAAAACTCATATATTCCTGGTATTTTATTTTCTTTGTAGCTGCTGTGAATAGTACTGACTCTTTGACTCTCAGCTTGACTGTATGAGTATACAGAAATGGTACTGATTTGTGTACACTGATTTTGTAAACTGAGAGACTTTGCTGAATTTATTTATCAATCCCAGGAGTCTCTTGGTGGAATAAGCATCTTCTAGATGTAAGATCATACTGCATATCATCAGCAAGATGACAGTCTGACCGCCTCTTTCCATTAATTTGGATATTCTTTATTTCTTTCTCTTTTCTGATTGTTCTGGCTAGGACTTGAGTAGAAGTCATGACAGCGTGCAGCCTTGTCTTACTCTAATTGTTGGGGGGGATACTTTTAACTTTTCCCCATTTGGTGTAATGTTGGCTGTATGTCATAAATAGCTCTTAAAATTGTGAGATTTGTTCCTTCTATGATTAGTTTATTGAGGGTTTTTATCATGAAAATGTGATAGATTTTGTCAAATACTTTTTTTACATCTCTTGAGATGATCATATGGTATTTTTGTTTGTTTGTTAGTTTTTTGAGAGTCACATTTATTGATTTACGTATGTTTAACCATCCTTGCATCCCTGGGATGAAGCCCAGCCCAGTTGGTCATGGTAGATTATTTTTTTAATGTGCTGTTGAATTCAGTTTGCTAGTATTTTATTGAGGGTATTTGTATCTGTATTCATAAAGAATGTTGGTCTGTAGTTTTCTTTTTTGTTGGTGCCCTTCCTAGCTTTATTAGGAAGATTCCCTGCTTCTCAATATTCAGGAATAATTTCTTTAGTATGGGTACCAGTTCTTCCTTACAGGTCTGGTAAAATTTGGCTATGAATCCATCTGGTCTGGGGCTTTTTGTTGGTGTTGTAAAATTTCTTATTACTCCTTCAATCTCACTGCTTGTTATTGGTCTGTTCAGGAGTTCTATTTCTTCCTGTTTGAGTCTTGGGAGGTTGTGTGTTTCCAGGTACTTATCATGGAAAACTAAGTTTTCTAGTTTATGTGCATATAGAGGTTTTCATGGTATTTGGAGATATTCTGTATTTCTGTTGTCTCAGTTAGAATATCTCCTGCTTCATTTCTAATTGAGCTTATTTGGGTCCTTTCTCTTCTGTTCCTGGTTAACCTAAGCAAAAGGTCTATCAATTTTATTTGTATTTTCAAAGAATCAACTTTTTGTTTCATCAATCTTCTATATTACTTTCTTGTTTGTGATTTCATTTAGTTCTGAACTTAGTTCTTTCTTTTCTTCTACTGGGTCTGGGTTTGGTTTCCTCTTCCTTTTCTAGTTCCTTGAGATTTGTCATTAGATCATCAAGTTGCAATCTTTTTTTTTTTTTTTTTTGCAGTTTTTGGCTGGGGCTGGGTTTGAACCTGCCACCTCCAGCATATGGGGCTGGTGCTTTACTCCTTTGAGCCACAGGCACCACCCTATTTTTTAATTTTTTGACATATACATGTGTTTATTAAGTACTTTTTGCCTTCACAAAAGCTTTCTTTTTTATGTAGGGATTTAAGGCTATAAATTTTCCAATATTTAGCCCATGTACTTTGCTGAACCCTGTAGATTTTGATAACTTGTGTCCCCTTTGTCATTCAGTTCAAGAAATCTTTTGATTTCCATTTTAATTTCATTATTGATCCAATAACCATTTAGTAGCAGGTTGTTTAATTTTCATGACATTATAAAGAATTGAATGTTTCTCTTAGAACTGATTTCTAATTTTATTCCATTGTTGTTTGAGAAAATATATGGTATGATTTATATTTTGTTTTAATTTGTTTAGACATGTTTTGTGGCCTAAAATGTTCTCAATCTTCGAGAATGTTCCATGTGCTGATGAGAAGAATGAATATTCAGTAGCTTTGGGGTAAAATGTTCTGTAAATGTTTGTTAGGTCCATTTGTTCTGGAGTCCTGTTTAAGTCTAATGTTTATTTTCTGCTTAGATGATGTGTCTAGTTCTGTCAGTAGGGTATGGAAGGTTCCAGTAATTGCAATGCTACCATTCATCTCTTTGTTTAGATCTAGTAGAATAACTTTATGAATATGGATATTCCTGTTACTTGCACAAATATTTATTAGCATTAAATCTTCTTGTTGAACTGCTTCTTTTACCATTATTCACTTTTATCTTTCTTATCATTGATTTAAAGTGAATTTTACCTGATACAAGAATGGTTACGCTGGCTTTCTTTTGGTTTCTGTTAGCCTAGAATATTATATTCCATCCCTTTGCCTTGAGTCTACATAGGTCCTTGTGGGTTAGATGTGTTTCCAGATGACAACAGATACTTGGGTTGTGTTTTTTTCATCCGTTCAGCCAGGCTGTGTCTCTTGAGTGGCACATTCAGAACATTCGTGTTGATTGACAAAACTGATGTGCGGGATGCTGTCCCTCATTGTGTTGATTGACAGGACTGATGTGTAGGATGCTGTTCCTTTGATTGACAGGACTGATGTGTGGGACGCTGTTCTGTTCCTCATCGTGTTGACTGACA